TTTCATTTTACATACCGAACCGCTCTGTGTGCCATCTCCCTTTATCCTTTTGCATTCGGCCATACTGTTAACATTTAAAATTTGTAATCAATTTAAAGTTTATCGATACTTTAATCCAATTACCATTTCAACAATAATAACAAAAAGACATTGATACTTACTAGAAGTACATATATCCACCCTTTGGTTGCTTTCGAGTCTCGGCCTCAATTTCAAAGTCATCTGCTCCACCAACAATTTTCCAACCCATTGACTCCATTTTTCCTTCATATATCAGTTTACGCAAATCAAATTATTTTGTTACATACACTTTTCAATATACAAATATAGATAACTACTCTTGTGGTAAAACGGTTTTCTTCAAAAGAATTTGAATGGCCACACCAAAATGTGTCGGCACATTTATACAACCTATAATATCATTTTCTACCTATAATATTTAATAAAAGTATCGACATTTATATTTTTCCTTGAATATCTATTTCTACCTGCAATCGGTCCCAAATGCTTCCTTACTCCAAAACCCCAAACAACACATAAAAAACCCTATCGCGATTACTGTAATAATAAAAAATTAGGATTTCGACAACATACTTTTCGATTCGACTGCAGCAACAAACAAACAAACTTCGCTTTAGAAACGCCTTCTGAAATGCAGCAACAATTACTCTTCGATTTCAAAAACTCGTCCGTTCTATCTTTTTTCAGAGGATATTTAGCTATGGCCTTTATATTTTCATCGGATATGTTATTTATATTTAATCGATACAAATACAAAAGTGTCGATACTTTTATGTCAGGTGTCGATACTTTCGAAAGGATAATTACCTATTTCTTTGAAAGTGTCGATAATTTATTACACGTACTTACGAAAGTATCGACACTTTCAATATATCCGGTATCATTTTACCGGTTTTATCATTTTGATACCGGTTTTATCATATTTTTACTTGTTATATCGTTGTGGATCGATGTATTTTTTTTAAAGTATCGACACATTATAGGCGCTATAACTGCTTCTCTTTTAAATTCACAAAGTGTCGATCCTTATATAACGTATCGACACTTTTAAATTTACCGGTTTTATCATTTTGTTACCGGTTTATCATATTTTTACCTGGTATCGTTTTGGATCGATATATTTTTTAAAAGTATCGACACTTTTTAGGATTTAAAACTGCTTTGAAAGTTATGTAATTTATGTTTCAATTTATTTAATAGTGTTTCATATTTTCCACCTACAATATTAATTTAATAATTTAATTTACACAAAATTTTATTTGATTGTTTTGATATTTTATAAAATATTATTTAGAATTTAAATTTAACAATATTAACCAAATATAATAATAAATATGTTTTCAACAGTGAAATAAGTATGGACACTTTTATAAAAATGATATATACTTTTTTGAAAGTTATGTAATTTATGTTTCAATTTTTTTAATAGTGTTTCATGTTTTCCACCTACAATATTAATTTAATAATTTCATTTACACAAAAAATTATTTGATTGTTTTGATATTTTATAAAATATTATTTAGATTTTAAATTTAACAATATTAACTAAAGATAATAATAAATATATTTTCACAGTGAAATAAGTATGAACACTTTTATAAAAAGGATAGATAATTTACAATATAACAGGTAAAAATATGACAAAACCAGATTCATTATGACAAAACCGGTAAAATTTACTTGATATGTTAAAAGTATGGACACTTTTATAAAAAGGATAGATACTTACCGATAACCAAAGTTTACCGGTTACCAAATTTTTTAATAGTTTTTCATATTTTCTACCTAAAACATTATTAGTTGTCAACATAATAGGTACCGCTAAACCGAATTTATTAAATACATTTTAATGTATCCGGTAATGCTGTATATTAGCCGTATATTAACCCGCCTTTCCTGAGACATTCCCCGTATATATCCTTATTTTATCCATTTTTAAGTCAAATGACCATTTTGCCCTTTAATTCCTTTTAATAATTACTAACAACCCTTCATAACTTATTCCCAAATAAGTCATTGAACTATTCAACTATTCTACTTTAATCACCAAATTCTGAAGTTTTACAATTTAGTCACTAACCCGTAGTTTGGGATGTTACATACAACGCAAATGATCATGATTTTCTTTTTTTAAAAATATCATGTAATTCTAGTGATTTTTACACTACAGGAAAAATCACCAAAATAATTTTGACTACATCTTATATGAACTATTTTTCCTCAAACCATTATTTAAGTAAAATTGTCTATTTATCCCAAATATGTTTATTAAAAGTTTATTTAACTTATGATCACTAATAAATTGTCTTTCCTATTCAAGCTTATAATTAGTAATTTTTTAAGTCTATGGATTGAAATAAAAATTAAACTATTTTATTAACATGTCACATTATTAAATTAATAATATTTAACATTTTAAATATAATAATATAAATATTTAAAATTTAATTTTGAATGTACAAATATTAAAGCATGTAACCATTTTGATAGTGTACCCTTATATTTTCATGGTTTAAATATAAAATAAGTATCTAAACTATATCGTTTTTTTACAAATGCCTAAAGTATTTTTGACTTATTTATATGCCTAACATTACAAACGTTATCATTTTAGGTATTCAGTCCATCAACGACTTTAATTTTCCACGTTAAATGATATGTGTAACAATCTAATAAATTTAAAATTTTTACATTTTAAAAATAGCTTAAAAATATATTTTTCTAAAAAAAACTACTCGCATCCCCCCTCTCTCTTCCCTCCCCTACCAAACTTTCTACAAAGTTCTTCATGGCCAAATGCCCCAAAGCTCAAACGATCCATCAAATGGTCAAAAGTTTGGCTGTCATAGTTGGTTAAACGATCGATTATCACGATCCAACAAAAGAATTTAAAGAATTGAGTATTTGAGATTTTAGGAATTAAGATTTTTTTGAGAAATTAAGAATTTATGGATTGAAATGTAAGAATTTTGGATTTTGAAATTATAGTAAGGGTTATGACTGGTCAGTGGGTGGTCGGTGATGTATAGGTGAATTTTCGTCGGCGAATAGAAGGTCAGAGATGACCGTTGTTAGAGTAAAGGGGACTAGAATAAGAGATTTTTAGAGTTTAGAGCTTTTGTGATATTTTAAAAAATTAGAGTTTTCTCAAAAATAAAATTATTTTAAAGTTTTTTTAAAAACACCTGGTTGTAATGTGCTTGTTATATATCTAAGACCAATTTTATTATTATTTTTGGTTAAATAAAATAATTATAAAATAATATTTATTTTAAATATTCTTGATCATTTAATAATGAATATTCAAATCTATCTATTATAATGATGGGTGCTTAACAACAACGCTTACGTCAACCAAACAATTCGTGCACCTACCATTTTTATTAGTTAAGTTCATTTGGTTAGTCTATTAATTTTGATATTCAGGGGAAAATTTCTATTCTCCCTATGAAGTTAAGGGGAAAACTACAATTATTAAGTTGGATGTGAAGCAGATACCCTTGAGATTTCTTCTTCTCTCAGTGAAGAACTATGTTGCATGGGGACGGCAGAGGAAGGTCGTTTTAAGTACCCGAAACGTCTATGGCACGGGGACGATACAGGGACGGTCGGGGTACGTATCATGAACGTGTCACGGTGACAGGGTACGACCGAACAATACGAAGACGTTTCGGTACTCGTTGGGGATATTTCGGTACTCGCTGGGAACGTTTCGGGGACAACATGTGACTAGCACATATGTCCCTGTGTATTTTACCTCCTTCTCCTTCACTTGATGATCTTCGCAGGGAAACTGCTAATTCTCGTTGAAGGTAATAATAAACTTATGTTTTTAATGTCCAGTTCTGAAAAATTTTCATTAACTTGCAATTGATTATTTTTCTTCTTTCTTCACGTCTTTAGGAACTAAAAACTAATTGTTATGGATTCAAATCTCTATTCTTTTTTTTTTTCTAATGAAATCTAGATATGTTGTATTGAGAAGGCGGCTGCTATTGGATCCGCATGTTCCCAAGAATGGAGGAAGTAATTCCCTTGATATTGTCAAGGACAACCCACTCTCACAAAACCCAGGTAATTACAATTCATGACTGAACCAAAACCATTTTTTTAGTATGGATACATACATATATATATATATATATATACATGTTAATATCACATTTTTTTGCATGGATGGTCTTAAATATAATTTCAGAATGGACACGATTAATAAAATGAGTAAATAGTCCGAATAAAATTCAGATTTTATTGTGAATACGAGTTCACCCTAAACATGCAGTGAAATAAATTAAATTCGAGTCGCGCCAAAGATTTTTTTACATCCACTACAATCTTCGTCTTTTATCAAAGAGTTCTAGTCAATACGAAGATGAGAAAATCAAGATGTGAGATGTTGGTGTAGATGCTTTTGATTCATTGAGAGATGTTAGATATTTAGAGTTTGTCGAACTCTCACTTGATATGGCTGATATAAAGAGCGAGTTAATCTCGAAAGATGTTAAATTTTTTTTTTTGTGTTGTTTAATATTTTTCTATACTTAATATTATTGTTTTAGTCTTAAAATTTGACACTTTAATATTATGGTTTGATTATAAATTTTATTATTCTAGAATTAATATTATGGTTTAAATATTGAGATTTAACATTTTAATATTATGATTTGTTTATAAATTTTATTATTCTAAATTTAATATTATAGTTTGAGTCTTGATATTTAACTTTATATATAAATTTTTACATCTATTTATAATTTTAAAATTATTTTATATATTATACCTTACTAAATAAATTGTCGTTTCTGTCCCGTATACATATAGTGCAATATAGGTGAAGAACCCCTAAAAGGAGGAAAAGACGGACACTGTAAGAACTAGAAAATCTAGCCTCTTTTTTACTGCCTTACTTTGTTTTCTGCCCTTCTTTATTTCCATTTGTTTTCTCCGTAGTGATCTGGAGGTGAGTTTGTGGTTTTGTCCATCATCAATGGAGATTAATGTAGGCTTAGCTTTGTTTCCGAGACGACTCTATCATTTTTTTATATTCCAACATTTCTAAACTCATTTTTTTAAAAATATCAAGCTTTTATTTTTTATTTTTTGATGTTTGGGTTTATAAATTTCAGGTCCTTTTGTTGATCAGTGGATAAAAGAGGATATTTTTTTAGGAATAATCATCGGGTCATGGCAGTGGTTGAGAATTCTTCTAATCAAGATGCGGCTGCAACAACAGTGGCATCAAACGATCAGGATCAGTCAAATACGAGATTAAATCAGAACGATCAGGGGTTATATAACACGATCGGTAGTTTCCATCATCGATCCAACGGCGGAAATTTACAGAGGAGCAATGGTGGTGCTGGGGATGAAGTTGGGTATAGCTTCAAGAGAGAGATGAGAGAGTTGCAAGAACTTTTCTCTAAGCTTAACCACATGGCTGAAGAGTTCGTTCCTCATTCAGTTGTTAATCATGGACTCAATGGTGGGTGTTTCACTGACAACTCTTTTCTGCAAAACAACAATTACATCTCAAGGAACGGCCAGGCAAATGAAAATGGTGCCGCTAGGCGGGTATGCCATCGAAAACCCATTTATTGATTGGTTTCTTTGTTTACTGTTAAATTACCAACATTAGTCATCTTGGAGTTAAAAAAATAATGGTAGAGAACAAAATGAATAAAATCGGATTGATTGGGTTGTCAAGATTTTTTTTTTGTGTTTCTTTGGTTTAGTAGAGGTTTCAGTTCATGTACATTTTAGGAAGTATTCAATTTCAAAGTTCATTTTTCAAATATTAACAAATTCCTATCGTACATCATCTCAATTATAGAAGAGAGCATCATCTAATCTCATGGATTTGTTCATTGATTTTGTTATTTTCTCAGAAGAAAATTTTCAATCAAGGTAAAAGGAGATTGAACAACAGGACAAGTATGGCCCAGAGAGATGAGCTCATCCGTAGAACTGTTTATGTGTCTGATATTGATCATCAGGTATGTATAGTGAGTATTCTGAGCTTGTTAGGATGCTGCTATTACTTCTACAGTCTCCTCTCTTTGTTATTTGGATTCATGCAGTCTTTTGCTTGTCGGGATGTAGGTCACTGAAGAGCTGCTTGCAGGTTTATTTGTGAGTTGTGGGCAGGTGATATGGTGTTCTTTGCTTGTCTTAGCAGTTTTCATCGAGGTGATGTATCTCAATGAATATTGTTTCTTATGAAGGTGGTTGACTGCCGCATTTGTGGTGATCCAAATTCTGTACTAAGGCGATAGGGGTATTATAGCTGAGGCGCAAGGCGCGCCTTATTGAATTGAGGCACAATTAATATATATATATATATATATATATATATGCAGATTTTACCCTATTATCATCCTTCGTTCCTTCTAACATTCTTCGTTTTTATAACCCCAAGCAAAGTCGATCCTCTAACAGAATATTACCCTAATATCACAGCAACTCATTGTTGTTGTCACTGTTACAAGCATGTATTCCTTTTTTTTTGTTGACAAATCTGTTCTATTTTTATTATAACTATTTCGGTTGGCAATGGTAAAGGGAACATAAGATCATCCATGTGCTAACAGTAGTAGGGCTCATGTGGTGCAGAATATAGACAAAATACTGTTCCCATTCATTTCATTCAACATTTTTCACTGTCAAATTATTGACCCAAATCCCAGATTTACAAAAGCCTAACTGTGTTTTCCCTAGCCCCATGCAAAAGCTGTGCTTCATAAACTACACGTTCCTACATTATTTTCCACCAAAATGACCATTTCATCGTCTCTTAATAACCCAGAGATCCTTCTCTTCCTTAAAAACCTATACTTTCAATACTATTTCCCTATAACAAAACCCTAACATCTTTCCCCCGTCTTCCTAAAATCTCCCAAAAAGAAACCCAGATAGAATCAGTCAACCACTAGCAGATATGCTAAAGTTGAGTCAATACGTCCATTCATGAGGCAACCCCATATCATGATTCATTCCTTGTTGCCTGAAATTGCATTGTTTTTGGTTGCCTAACACGTTCCCACCACTTCGAAGTTTCAAAGCAGCATCAGTGTCAGCAGCAGAATTTGGGTTAAACCGAGGATGAAGCTGGGTTGAGCGCCAATCTCATCAAGGTTCAAGTTCAAGGCCTGAACCACTCTAGCCGGAAGCAGAACAGTAGGACAAGCATGTATTCTCATAACACCTTAACTAAAGGTTGTTTCTAATAACGCCTAACTAAAGAATTCTTCCCTCTGTGTTCTCTCCATCTCACTCTAAGCCTAATTACAGCATTAAACCCAACTGCCTACTGCTTCTGATTGTCATCCAGCCTAATTCCATCTCCAACTTAAGCAAAAAAGAACAAACTATTGGAAAGGCTGCGCCTCAGTGCCTTGCTGCACCTTACTGCGTCTGATCAAAATTGCCTTGCCCAGACCAAGATAGTCTTTTCAGGCTGCCTAGGCGCCTCGGATGCACCTTTTTAAACACCGGCAAGCATATTGGAACAACTTTCCTTTTGAATTCTCCTTTTGAATATGATGAGCTTCTATTCCTTACAATGAGCCTTATGCCAAGGATATCTATTTGTCGCTGTCAAAGGAATTATTTGAAGTGGTTTGGATTGGGATGCCAAGTGATATTGTGAATTATATCTTGATTGTCTGCCCTTTTACATCCAGTGACCTACATCGGCTTATCAGAGATGTTTTCCAAATTTTGAAATGAATTTATAGTTGGCGAATAATATGTAGCTCCTTTCAAATCATTTCGAGATTGGATTGCTTCAGTGTTCATGTATGAATGAATATGTAATCTTCTCTTATTATTTGAAGGCTGAAAGTGCAATTGCTGCTCTCAACTGTAGCGGTGTGGTTCTGGGATCATTGCCTATAAGGTCAAATTCCTGATTTTTTCCATCATTTCTCAAAATGATGTTTCCTTTTTCCATTCTTTTCTTTCATGGCCGTAATTTGTGTCCCAAGATCGATTTACTATTTTGATTTTGTTCTAAGTCAACCTTTGTTCTTGTTTATGATCAGGGTAAGCCCATCAAAGACCCCAGTTCGGCCTCGCGCTCCCCGCCTTCCTGTCAACTGAATCGTCTTGAACCGGACTGATTTTAGTACCAGGTTAAATATATATGTTTGGAGTCCATACACACCCCCATGTAAATAGGTTTCCCATGTTAATGGGTCTGCCAGTTTATATATGATATAGATTGGCCGCTGCTACGCTTGGGATCATTGTAAACCCTAGAGTCATCATTTGTTTATCCTTGGAACTTATGGTACATAGAGTTGGATGGAGCTTTGAGGCTTTGAAATGATGTGCATTATTACTCACTAATTTGGACTCGGTTTGTCCCAAATTGGACTTCTCTTTGCGCATTCTGGTAGTTAAGAGGCTATGTGACTGATGGAGTCGTTCTTTTACTACTTCTCTGTCACTGATACTATGCTAGCTTCGGCTTGATTTCCAGAGATGGTCCGAGAGGGATTCGGCTGGGGTGGTTTGGCCTATTGAAATTCTCATATAATTTAAGTATTTTTTTATATTTTCTATTGATAATCTGTTTTTGTCTCCCTTAAATTTTATAGGTTTGTTCCTTAGCATAATCTAACAGCTATATCTTTTATGAGTGAGTCAGAGTGAGAGTTTACAGATAGTCATCGCAATCCTAGACCTGACACTAACATTAAGGGTCAATATATTAACGGTTATATAAGTTTGTTGAAAGGATCTTTTTCTCTTTCGGGCTCTCTTGTCTCCCCATATCTCGATGTCTCAAGCTTTCTCTTACAATCTTTAAATCTTTTTTAAAAAGTCACATCAACAATATGTAATTCTATCTTGAACAATCAATCGTAATTTTTCACCTAAATCAAAATAGATGAACCGTCTATAGTTATTACAGTCTATTTGTTCTTGTTAATAATAATGATAAACTATTTTTAAATTAATATACTAATTAATTTTTTTGCATCAATATATATTTACCAAACATATGCTATTTTCTTCTAGGCTGTCTAAAGTTTATAATGTCATAAAGAGCCCTACAGATTGGTGTGATTCTGTCTCTTTCATATACAACTTTAGTTTCCAAAGCTGTTGACCTCTTCTTTTTTTTCATTTTGAGAATTCCAGGGCTGTGAAGTTGAATGACGAAATTTTCGTAAAGAGAAAGTGATAAAGAAGTCTGGTCATTGACGGTGGCTTTTCTGCTTTCCCTGTAAATGGTTCCATTCATTTGTAAGATCTCTATCCTCGTTGATACTTGAAGACGATTAAAATTTTTATGTTAAAGAAAATGGCGAAAATAATCAAATTGTAAAAAAAAAATGCAATATAAACTTCTATCATTATTCCAATAAAATATACAGAAAAAGTTAAATGTATTTAAACCATATATCACCATTTTTAAAATTATACACTAAAATAATAATCATTATAAACTATTATTATAATGGTATATGAAAAAACTCATATAATGCTAGACGTGTTTCTATAAAAAAAATATAATTATAAATGAATTGTTGTTATTATTTAAAATTTTAGATTAACGTACAAAAAATATTAAAGATATAGGCTATCAATATCAAGTTATTAAAATTATTTTTAAATACATATTATTTTATGCTTACCCTAAACCAGTTAAAAAAAGTGTCCAGTATTCCACACTTTTGACTTACATAAAGAATGAGTTAAAAATTAAATTAAAAAGAAATAACATTGTTACATCCCTTCTAAATTTTTTTAAGATTGATTTTCGCTATGTACAGTTAAGACTTTATAATATTATTTATCACAGAGCCTTCGAAGTTTTACATTCCTTGAAAATCGTGACCATTTACTATAACTTTTACGAGATATACTAAAATTAATTGATAATTGATTACTTGTTTACAAATAATTATTACTATCTCTAACATTAATACTAAATGTTATTATAAAATTTTTCGGCCAAAATTAAGAGTGGGATAAGATCCGAGATATAACTTAGGTCTTTTCATAAAAGAATGAATTTTAATACGGATCAACAATTATTTTATTATTATATGTATTTCTCAACCCTAATTAAAAAATATAAATTTAATTTTTTTATTAAGCTAAAGTGATCACAAAATATTATTTATTACATATATGTCTAACTATTTAATAGTAAACACTTAATTACTATTGTAATAATCTTCGATGGTCAAACTCAAAATTTTTAAAATTAATAATTATTTCTTCGATCAAAATATTATAATTAGTTTGTAACAAATTTAATTTTTTAAAGCCTTCATTTCCGCGTATGAAATGTTTGGATAGCTAATTTACCAATGGGAGGGGTACTTTCGCAGTGCAGCGCCTAAAAAACGGTTAATATACGGTGTGACCGGTTAAATAAGTGACTGGTTAAAATTTAGACTAGTTATGTTATATTATTTAACCGGAAATATTATAAAGTACAATAACATATTAGATAGTGCTTATATAATGTAATAGGTAGCGCTTATATTGACCTATTTTATAAGTAAACCAATATATTTATACCGATAACATTACAAATTTACCTATTACATTATAATATGTTGAAAGTGTTCATATTTTTTTATAAAAATGATCGATACTTTTTTTTAAAGTTATGTAATTTATGTTTCAAATTTTTAATAGTGTTTCATGTTTTCCACCTATAATATTAATTTAATAATTTCATTTGCACAAAAAATTATTTGATTGTTTTGATATTTTATAAAATAATATTTAGAATTTAAATTTAACAATATTAACCAAATATAATAATAAATATGTAATATATATGTTTATTGTTTTTAATTTAATGATAATATATACCGTAACATAAAAAATAAATCATTAGATACATATAATTACTAAATTAATATCTTAAAACTCACTCAAAAGATAACCTTAAATTAATGTTTTCCACAGTGAAATAAGTATTGACACTTCTATAAAAAGAATAGATACTTTATAATATAAGCGCTACCTATTACATTATATAAGCGCTACCTATTACATCATATTTTTACCTGATATATTGTAAAGTATCGATCCTTTTTATAAAAAGGATCGATACTTTTTTTAAAGTTGTGTAATTTATGTTTCAAATTTTTTAATAGTATTTCATGTTTTCCACCTACAATATTAATTTAATAATTTCATTTACACAAAAAATTATTTGATTGTTTTTGATATTTTATAAAATAATATTTAGAATTTAAATTTAACAATATTAACCAAAGATAATAATCAATATGTAATATATATGTTTATTGTTTTTAATTTAATAATAATATATATCGTAACGTAAAAAATAAATAATTAGACGCCTATAATTACTAAATTAATATCTTAAAACTCACTCAAAAGATAACCTTAAATTAATGTTTTCCACAGTGAAAACAGTATGGACACTTTTATAAAAAGGATAGATACTTTACAATATAAGCACTACCTATTACATTATATAAACGCTACCTATTACATTATATAAGCGCTACATATTACATCATATTTTTACCTATTATATTGAAAGTGTCCATATTTTTTATAAAAAGGATTAATACTTTTTTTTAAAGTTATGTAATTTATGTTTCAATTTTTTTTAATAGTGTTTCATGTTTTCCACCTACAATATTAATTTAATAATTTCATTTGCACAAAAAATTATTTGATTGTTTTGATATTTTATAAAATAATATTTAGAATTTAAATTTAACAATATTAACAAAAGATAATAATAAATATGCAATATATATGTTTATTATTTTTAATTTAATAATAATATATATCGTAACGTAAAAAATAAATCATTAGACGCCTATAATTACTAAATTAATATCTTAAAACTCACTCAAAAGATAACCTTAAATTAATGTTTTCCACAGTGAAAAAAGTATGGACACTTTTATAAAAAGGATAGATACTTTACAATATAAGCACTACCTATTACATTATATAAACGTTACCTATTACATTATATAAGAGCTACCTATTACATCATATTTTTACATATTATATTGAAAGTGTCCATACTTTTTATAAAAATGATCGATATTTTTTTTAAAGTTATGTAATTTATGTTTCAATTTTTTTTAATAGTGTTTCATGTTTTCCACCTACAATATTAATTTAATAATTTCATTTACACAAAAAATTATTTGATTATTTGATATTTTATAAAATATTATTTAGTATTTAAATTTAACAATATTAACCAAAGATAATAATAAATATGTAATATATATGTTTATTATTTTTAATTTAATAATAATATATATCGTAACGTAAAAATAAATCATTAAACGCCTATAATTACTAAATTAATATCTTAAAACTCACTCAAAAGATAACCTTAAATTAATGTTTTCCACAATGAAAAAAGTATGGACACTTTTATAAAAAGGATAGATACTTTACAATATAAGCACTACCTATTACATTATATAAACGCTACCTATTACATTATATAAACGCTACCTATTACATCATATTTTTACCTATTATATTGAAAGTGTCCATACTTTTTATAAAAAGGATCGATATTTTTTTTAAAGTTATGTAATTTATGTTTCAATTTTTTTTAACAGTGTTTCATGTTTTCCACCTACAATATTAATTTAATAATATCATTTACAGAAAAAATTATTTGATTGTTTTGATATTTTATAAAATATTATTTAGTATTTAAATTTAACAATATTAACCAAAGATAATAATAAATATGTAATATATATGTTTATTGTTTTTAATTTAATAATAATATATACCGTAACGTCAAAATAAATCATTAGACGCCTATAATTACTAAATTAATATCTTAAAACTCACTCAAAAGATAACCTTAAATTAATGTTTTCCATAGTGAAAAAAGTATGGACACTTTTATAAAAAGGATAGATACTTTACAATATAAACACTACCTATTACATTATATAAACACTACCTATTACATTATATAAGCGCTACCTATTACATCATATTTTTACCTATTATATTGAAAGTGTCCATACTTTTTATAAAAAGGATCGATATTTTTTTTAAAGTTATGTAATTTATGTTTCAATTTTTTTAACAGTGTTTCATGTTTTCTACCTACAATATTAATTTAATAATTTCATTTATAGAAAAAATTATTTGATTGTTTTGATATTTTATAAAATATTATTTAGTATTTAAATTTAACAATATTAACCAAAGATAATAATAAATATGTAATATATATGTTTATTGTTTTTAATTTAATAATAATATATACCGTAACGTAAAAAATAAATCATTAGACGCCTATAATTACTAAATTAATATCTTAAAACTCACTCAAAAGATAACCTTAAATTAATGTTTTCCACAGTGAAAAAAGTATGGACACTTTTATAAAAAGGATAGATA